CTTTTCTTCTCTCCCTCTCTGTTCCTTCCCTCTCCCCCTTTCCCTCTTTCTTTGTCCATCTCCCTTTGACTTTTCTTACCTGATGTTCCTTGGCCTCATTCTTTGTTTTTCCTTCTTTCTCAGTTCCAGCACATTTATCCCTTTGTCTTATCTTTTCATCTTTCGTGAGGCTCTCACGTTGTAACTCCCAGCTACCAGCTCTGCTTCCTTTTGCTTATGCAGCAGGCTCCTTCCCAGACTCCAAGATCTGTCTCTTCCTTGGAATTCCACTGAATTTCTTTTCTCATTTCAAAAGAGGACAGGGTCTTTCTCAGCTCTCATTTCTTGCCTTGGGAGTCTGTTGAGCACACATGAGTGTCCTTTCCTTCTTTCTCATCCTCTTTTCTCAGTGACCCTCTTTCCCATTTTCTTCTCCCTCTGTAACCTGCTCATCAGGTACGGACTACTCTCAGCGTTGAGGAGACTGAACAGGACATGCTCCATCTTTGTAGCATCTTGAGCCTTAGCCAAATGTTTGAAGCAGGTAGGGTGTGTTTAACTAGGAAAGCCCTAGTGATCTGGCCAATTAGAGAAGATCCCTTTTTATTTTTTTAACCAAAGGAAACTCCTATACACTGCTGATTGCCTCTTGGACACTTTCCATGAATGAGAGAATCTTGCTGTCATCCTCAACTCCTTGCTCTCACTTTCCCCCCATATCCAAATCTCGGCTCTTCCCTCCATCCCCTTCTCTCTTTTGACCCGATTATCACAGTAGCCTTTTAATTCGCCTCCCTGCCTCTTGTCTCTCCCCGTTCTACTCCATCCTCATTCATCAAAGTGATTTTTCTAAAGCCTTATCTCCCTTGATAAACTCCAATGGTTCCCTGTTACTTCCAGGATAAAATAGGAAGTCATTTAAAGATCTTCACAATCTGGCTGCCTCTTAACTTTCTAGCCTTCTTACACTTTGCTCCATGCACTCCATGACGGTAAACCTTGCATGTCATCCAGCTTGACATAGAACACATCATCTCCTGACTCTGGACCTTTGCCTTGGCTATTCCTTTGCTTGGCACACCTCACCTCCTTTTAGTTTCCCCATCTTCATTCAAGACTCAGTTCAGGTTCCATTTGTAAGAGGCCTTTCCCAGCCCCCCAAGCTATCAGTGCCCAAGACCACCTTCTATCCACTCTGTATGCATTTTGCTAGTTTCTGGTTATTTACATGTTGTCTCTCCCACTAGAATGTAAGCTCCATGAAGGCAAGCACTCTTTTGACTTTTGTCTCTGTATCCTGACTTCACCAAATGTCTGGTACCTAGCGAGAGCTTAATAAATGCTTGTTGATTGAGAAATAGATAATCAGAGGCCATAAAGAGAGGGAATCCGTATTTTTTTGTTTTTTCCTTTGCTCATCATGACTGCGCTTTCTTTGTGATCTCTTTGCAGACTGTACTTGTGTTTAGAGAACTCAGGAGGTCTTTTGTAGAGACGTTTGGAGTTGGAATTCCGATACCCCCTTCTCTTTCAAAGAAGGAGCTAGCCGTGGAGAGCAGACCGTTTAGAATTCAGCAGTGGAGAAACGTGAGTCTGGAAGCTTCTGCCTCTTCTTGCTTTTCCAATATCGCCTATGTTTGAGCGCTGTATGCTCTAGAATAGCGGCTGTCACCTTAACTCAACCAAGAAATGTTTGTGGCACGTGTGAAATATCTGGATTCAAAAAAATAACCATTAGCGAGGTGGCTCGGTGGATAGAGTGCCTGCCCTGGAGTCAGGAGGACCTGAATTCAGACACTTAGTAGCTGTGTGACCCTGGGCAGGTCACTTCACCCTGTTTACCTCAGCTTCCTCATTTGTAAAATGAACTGGAAAAGAAAATGGCAAAATACTCCAGTATCTTTGCCAAGATAACCCCAAATTGGGGTGCCAAAGAGTCAGACTCAATTGAACCGCCACAACAGAAGTAAGAACAATAATGTCAGGAAGAGGGCGGTTGTGCGGCACATTTTTATGTGAGTTACAGTCATCGGAATACCTTTCAGAGGGCTACTGCTGTCCAGAATCAACGAATGTATAGGGAGGTCACGCCTCAGTCCTCAGATTGGACCATGGCTGCCTCTAAAGACCAATCTGCTTTCGTGTTTGAAGGCTAGTCCACAAAGACCAGTCAGTAGGCCTCTTTGACCTGTGTCCCCCATTGGACCATGGCTGCCTCTAAAGACCGATCTGCTTTCGTGTTTGAAGGCTAGTCCACAAAGACCAGTCAGTAGGTCTCTTTGACCTGTGTCCCCCACCCCCAGGAAGACAAACTAGGGGCTGCCCCAGTATGGGAGTGGCTTATTCTTGGGAGCGGCTGGCAGTGCAGAAGTATGTGTCTGTGTGTCTTTTAGCTTTTGGCAATGGGACCTAGAGCCTGCCCTGTCCAAACCAGAGTCTGCCTACTGACGGTTTTCCATTTTTCAATCTCCTTCCCTTCTTTCCGTTCAACCCTCCTGAAAGGCTTCCTTGAAGATGTCAGAGATACAGAATCCATTCATAAACTCTTACTTCAGGAGCTCAAAAAGGACCTCAGAGGCCATCAAAATCAAACCCATTTCATATATGGGGAAACTGAGTCCCAAGGAGTTCAAGTGACTTACCCAAGGTCACATGTGTCAGAGAGAAGATTTGAACCCAAATCCTCTGACTCCAGAGGCAGTGCTTTTTCCACTGGAGAACATTCTTCCCTTCCCTTTGCCTTCTCCCTTCCCCTGCCTCAGCTGAGATCTTATCCATTTCCCCGAGTCACCCTCTTCCCTGCGGTGTTGGAAGCATACTCGTACTCCAGGGGGAAGACCACCCACAATTTCTTGGTTTATAATTTCAGCTGGATTTCTTTTCCCAGGCTGGGGAACAGGGAGCAGCTGGGTGTCTCAGGTATGGCAGGAATGAGGGTGGGAAGACTTTAGAGAAATGGGATTGGGGATGGGGCCTTCACCTCTGAGCCATGACGGTGGTGATGGGACACACAGAACCCTAAAGGTTGGAGAATGGGATCAAAGACCTTTGTCACTAATGAGGCCTTCAAACAAACAGCTACCCTCTCTGTGCCTTAGTTTCTTCCTCCATAAAATGAGGGTTTTGGGTAGATGATCTGATGGTCTATGGTTCCATTCAGTCTTTGACAGATCATTAGAATGTATACCAGTATTGTGGTGTAACGGATAGAAAGGAATCAGGAAGAAGTTGTTCAGTCACGTCTGATTCTTTATGACCCCATTTAGGGTTTTCTTGGCAAAGATACTGGAGTGATTTGACATTTCTTTCTCTAGCTCATTTTACAGATGAGGAAACTGAGGCAAACAGGGTGAAGTGACTTGCCCAGAGTCACACAGCTAGTAAATGTCTGAGATCAGATTTGAATTCAGGAAGGTGAGTCTTCCTGACTCCAGGCCCAGCGCTCTATCCACTGTGCCATGTAAAAGATATGGGTTCAAATCTTGCCTCTGACATTTAGTTGCGTGACCATGGGCAAGTCTCTTAATGTCTCTGAGTCTCAGGCAACTTTCTGAGATTTAAATTCAGGCTTAAGCTGTGTGTAGGTGGAGGGAATTCCCACAATGACAAAATCTGATGTGTTTTAAGGGTTCACGATGAGCCCTGAATATCCATGGCGTCAGGGAATGGTGACTAATGAGGCTCTTTGTAGGTATTGGAGATGCCAACAAAGATAAAATAATCCAGTGCAATCTAATGTGGGCTTTGCAACAAAGAGGTGTGATTATTCCCATTTTACATATGGGGAAACAGAGGCTCATAAAGATTACAGGGTATGCCCAAAGTCGTTTAGCTGGTGGATGATGGAGCTGGGACTAGTTTGGGACCAGTTCTAGATTTTATTCTACTACTTTTTTTTTTTATGCTTTTTACACTGTTGTCGATGGCCAGTGACAGTCCTTTTAAGATCCTCTCTTGGGGTAGCTAGGTTGCCCAGTGGGTAGAGCTCCAGCCTTGGAGTCAAGAGGATCCGAGTTCAAATATGGCCTCAGACACTTGACACTTACTAGCTGTGTGACCCTGGGCAAGTCACTTGACCCCATTGCCTAGCCAAAAAAAAAAAAAAAGATCCTCTCTTGTAGCAGAGGAATATAGTGAAGCAAAAAACCAAATCTACCCCATTGATTATGTCTGACAGTGTATGCTGCGTTATCCCACTGTGGTCCACCACCTCTCAGCATACGTCATGCCTGCCTGCCATGCCCTTAGCTTTCTCGGTGACAGTGACTCGGGGGTCTGCACTGTAAAGTTTGTGGTTATTGTTTATCTCCTCTGCACATCCCACTTGGCAGTCCAGTACTGGACCTGCTTTTAGGATGATGGTCAGTTATGCCCTGAGGCTTAATCATTCACAACCCTCTCTTCTTTTTTAAGAGGGCCTAGATGAGGTGATGTCCTCGTGCCCAGGGCCATGGCGGCAGCAGGTTCATGCTTTATAGACACAGAAAGAGTGGGCCACACCACCTCCCCAGAGCCCTTTACTCTGTCTGGAACGGGGTTATATATTAATTCCACTTTGGCTGCTTATTTCCCCAAGAACAGACTGACTTTCTTAGGTGATTTTTGACTTCTTTCCTTGCCTGTGTATCACATGTCTTGTGTTTCCCAAGGAGCAGAATGTCATGGCAACTTACGGAGCTTCATAGCTTATTAAAATTTTGGGCTACTTAACTATCATGTTTTCCTTTTTTTAAAATGAAATTTATTTTTTTTCAATGAATAAAAATTGATTTTCTCTCCATTTCCTACTCCAACTATTTTTTTTTTATTAAAGAGAACAAATCTCTGAATTGGTTATGCCCAAAAAAATATATGTTTCTTTCTACAATCTTGAGTTCAACTCCTGTCTGGCAGAAAGTGGGGAACAGGCTTCATCACTGGTCCTCTGCAATCATGGATGGTTTAGAGTTCTCAGAGCTTTCAAAGCTGTTGCTTTTTACAGTGTTGTTGCAATTGTTGCAATTGTTCTTCTAGTTCTGCTCCCTTTACTCTGCATCAGTTCATAGAAGTCTTGCGAGGTTTCTCTGCATCATTTCTTATGGCCCAGTGATTTTCCAATGCCGTCATTTTTTCAGTTCCTTAGCTTCCAGTTCTTGCTGCTATCAAAAATACAAACTGGTCCATTGTTGTGGTCTCCTTCGGGCTCTTCTTAGTACATGGGCCTGTACTGGTTCTCAAAAACCATCCACCTGTCTTCTCTCTTCTTTCTCTTCTGTGGACACTTGCAGATCTGGGTTCTGGTCTTCCCTCTAACAATTCCACCTGGGTGATCTAACAAGTCACTGACCTACCTTCATGTTTCTGGGTCTCAGCTATGAAATGGGGATAAGATCACACCTGCCTAGTGGTAAGATGCAGGTGATTTCTCTTGCTGTCTACCACCTTCGAGGTGGGTGGCTCTATTTTAAGTGCCTGGCCTGTAGGCCAAAGGGCAGTGGGGAGGCACATGTCAGACATGAGCAGATTGCCACGTGTGTGCGAGAAGAGTTACAGAGGAGCCAGCGGCGTATGGTGCTCAGAGAAAAGAGCCGGCCAGGGAGCCAGGGAAAGGGGCAGCTGACGGACAGAATGAATGCGTGCTCCACTGGTAGCCACACAACATGAAGGGAACATGAGGAAGGTTTATGGCACGCAGCAAGGAGCCCTTGTGCTGTATTTATGAGCATTACTGGAGGGAAAAGTCACATCATAAGAATATACAATATATACACATAATAATATTTATGTAATGCTGTAAGGTTTGCAAAGAACTGTACATCTGTTATCCTGAGTATTTTATATTGTCTGCAATTATTGTAAATGGAATTTCTCCTTCTATCTCTTCTTGCTGGGTATGGTTGGTAATGTAAAGAAATGCTGATGATTTGTGTGGGATTTGTTTTTCATCCTGAGGAGGCCAGGTGTCCAGTAGATAGAGTGCTGGCTCTGGAGTCAGAAGGACCGGAGTTCAAATCTGGCCTCAGACACTTACTAGCTGTGTGACCTTGGGCAAGTCACTTAACCCTGTTTGCCTTGGTTTCCTCATTTATAAAAAGAGCTGGAAAAGGAAATGGCAAAGCACTCTAGTGTCTTTGCCAATTGATTTCTGAAGCTCTTAAAGTATTTTGTGCCAAGTAGGCATTATGGTGTCATGGGGTCATGAAGATTTGGAGATGAATAATCAACTAAACAACAGCAAAAAGTTTATGTTGTCTGCAGTAGTTTTATTTATTTATTTATTTATTTATTTTTAGTTTTCAACATCCACTCCCACAAGATTTTGAGTTCCAAATTTTCTCCCCATCTCATCCCCCTCCTCCACCCCAAGATGGCATGCATTCTGAATACCCCTTCCCCTAATCTGCCCTCTCTTCTATCTCTCTCCCCTTCTCTTATCCCTTTCCCCTTCTATTTTCCTGTAGGGCAGGATAGATTTCTGTATCCCATTTCCTGTATTTCTTATTTCCCAGTTGCATGTGAAAACAATTTTTTTCAACATGTGTTTTTAAAATTTTCTCCCTTCCTCCCTCCCCACCCACCCTCATTGAAAAGGCAATCTGCAGTTGTTTTAAATGGAATTTCTCATTCTATCTGTCCATGTATTATCTCATTCATTCCTCAGCAACTCTGGGAAGTAGGGTCTTGTTATTATCCCCATTTTACAGGTGGGGAAACCGAGGCTGGAAGAGGTTAAGTGACTTGCCCAGGGTCATACATATGGTAGCTGAGGCAGGATTTTGACTCTGGTTTTCCTGACTCAGTCCAACGCTCTAACCTCTGTGCCATCCAGCAGCCTGGTCTCTAGCATTAAGGAAGACTTAGTCACAAGAACTTGTGAGTTTAGGGAAATGTTTTGCAGGAGGAATTCTAGGCTGTTAGGATGTCTGCTGCGTCCTCAGGCACGGCTGCCCGAGCCGGGCCTGAATCCCAGCCTGATCAGTCTGTTGGTGACGGGGGACAGAGGCAGCAAGATGCTGTGGGTTCTGACTCGGCTGCTTGGGAGACGTCACCTTTGGCATGCAGACCCAGCTTCCAGAGTCCAGGCAGGATGGGCTAGAACTGTAGATAAGATAACAGTGCACACAGTCCCGGGGATTGCCAGCAGGTTTCCTGCTCAAAGCGTCCGACTCAGCTGGATCTCCGACAGCAAGTCAGCTTCCCTTTGCTGGACTTTCAGGTCTTGCAGGATTTTCCACCTACACAAAAAAGTGAAGCCAAAACCTTGAGCAAAATGATTGCGCGTTTAATTTTGTGCCGTGCTTGGTACAGAGAGAGATGGGATCTCTGAGCCACAACCTCCACCTATTGGCACCTTGAATGCCAACCCGCAGGCACTGCAGGAAACAGGTGTGGGCCACAGGCACCATATCACGGGTCCCAACCTGAAGACACTTTGCAGTGAGATGAGCCGTGAAAACGATTGTCACAATTACCCACGGCTCCGTGGCAGCCGTGGAGCAACCTTTATTCCAAAGTTCCTGGAAATTTGGGGAAAATTCTGTCCCTTCAGACTGTACAGGGATGAAAAGCAGCATAAGACACCCTATGCCTCCTTGGCACAAAATTCTTTTAAAGCCTTCGAAATTTAAAAAAGAAGCCTTGAGCCTGGTCACCCTGGTGCCAATAACGTCTCTTACGGTTGGGATTCATTTCAGAGGCAGCCCTCGCGAGTCTGTTTCCGACTGCATCATAAAGGGGACTCATCAGGAATATTTGGTGGGTGCCTAATCGCATGACCCTAATGAAGGACCAGGTCAGGGTTCCAAAAATAACAGTAGCTAATGTTTATACGGTGTTTACCATGTGCCAGGCACTGTGCCAAGCCCTTCACAAAGATTATCTCATTTGATCCTCGAAACACCAGGTGATTTCTCTTGGTCTCTGCGAAGTTGAGGAAACTGAGGCAGACAGAGGTTGTGACTTGCTCAGGGTCATCCAGTTAGTAAGTGTCTGAGGCCAGATTTGAACTCATTTACTTTTCCTGCTCATTTGACAGATGAGGAACTGAGGCTAACAAGGGTTAAGTGACTTGCCCAGGGTCACACACCTAGTGAGTGTCTAAGTCGGGTCTTCCTGACTCCAGGCCTGGCGTTCTCTGCACCACACCACCTCCTTGTTTCTCTTTTTCTTTTACTTTTTTTACTTTTGTAGCCCCTGTGTCTTAGCATGGTGCTTTGCACATAGTAGGCACTTACTAAATGTTGGTTTGAATCAAATTGCCTTATATATCTCATCCTGGTTTTTTCTTGCAGGAGAATTCTTTGAATCATGGTCTCCCACTCAGAGCTGAGGGAAATTTTCCGCTCTGCCGACGCTGTCTGCTTCGATGTTGACAGTACGGTCATCAGAGAAGAAGGAATCGACGAGCTGGCCAAGTTCTGCGGCGTTGGGGATGCTGTGTCAGAAATGTATGAATGATTAAACCCTAGGTCTCTCTTCGGTCAGCTGAGCACTAGAGAATCAGTAGGGGAGGCTAGAACAGGGGTCAAAGTGCGCCAGCTTCGGTCCTGGGATTGCCCACATAGACATAGCTTGGTGGCTTACCTCCATTTTCTCATCTCTGAAGTAGTGACTTTTTGGGGGCTGAATCTGTAGGTATCTACAAAAACCCAATGATGGTTGGGTGCTCTTCAGATGCAAGGGCCCCGAGTTAGGTTATGTTGTGGAAAGGGCTGGAGTCAGTGGTCTGCCCCCAGTACAATCCTCATTCAGAAGGTGATGCACGTTCTTGTCAGGATATTCAGACAGATTGGTAAACTGACTCACTCAGAGAGCCACCTTCCTTCCCAGGTTGCGGCAGCTTTCTCTAGGACCTCTAAAGGATCTGTTACCTTCAGCCTCCATAATTATCCATTTTGGGGTCCCTGGGAGCAAGGGTCATTCCAAATGCCCTGCAGCACTGTGGCGTTTCCAGGAAACACTTCTCCATCATCCGGCATTCCTGTACTGCTTTCTATAATACCCTGGACCGGACTTCTGCCACCGTCAGGTCAGACACAGGGGAAAGCTCATCTGCCCTTCCGATAGAAGACCGCTCTGCTTGTTTGACCCTTCCCTAGCTCCCCCAAGCAGCCAGCTCCCCAGTAGGAGAGAGTGTATAGGAAGCGGGGAATTCTCAGGTCCCCGGCCGGGCCTACGAGAGCCAAGTCCATGACGTAGAGTAGACCAGGATGTGCGTCTCGCAGTTATTGCTCTGACCGTTGACCTGAGGTGGCCTCATTCAGTCGCTGCCTGTGTAGCTGGACCAGGGCATGGGCTTGGCATTGATGGGCTGAATCTCCTCCTTAGGACTCGCAGAGCTATGGGCGGCGCGGTGACTTTCAAGGCCGCCTTGACAGAGCGATTAGCACTGATCCAGCCCTCCAGAGAACAGGTGCAGAAACTCCTATCAGACCACCCTCCACACCTCACGCCCGGGATAAGGTAGGAGGGGTCCTTCACTCTCAGGGCTTCACCCCAGGCCTCCATCCTCCAGATGGTGGGAGGGCTCACTTTGGAGTCAGAGGACCTGGGTTCAAAGCCTGACTCTGCCAACTACTCCCTGTGACCTTGGACAAGTCATTTGCCTTTCTTGGGCCTAGTTTCCTTCCCTGTTAAATGGGAACAATGGACTCAGTACCTTCTGGAAGGTCCTTTTTTTTTCATTGTTGTTGTTCAGTCGTTTTTGGTTGTATCTAACTCTTCATGATCCCATTTTCTTGGCAAATATAGTGGTTTGCCATTTCCTTCTTGAGCTCATTTGACAGATGAGGAAACTGAGGCAAACGGGGTGAAGTGACTTGCCCAGGGTCACCCAGCTAGTAATTGTCTGAGACAGTATTTGAACTCAGGTCCTCCCTACTCCAGGGCCAGCACACTCTGCCCTGTACCACCTTGCTGCCTGGGGGTCTTTACTTTGCACCAATAGCATCACTGGTAACAGCATGCATGTGAGTGATGTGTAGGTATGGTTATTTATCTTTCTTATTGATAAACTGGAAAAGAATATCATAATATGACCGGCCCTGCAGTGTGGGCTAAACAGGCAGCCGTGCAAACCCAGTGCAGGAAACTTCTGTGAGTTTGATGCTGGGAAACTCCTGGTATGGAAATTCCCTTTTCCAATGACAAGTGAAAAGCCTCTGGCTTTCTAGGGAAATGTCCTAGAGAATTTCCTGAGACATGTAGAGATTAAGTAACTTGTTCAGGGTAAGACCATGCGCTCAAAGGCAAGATTTAAACTCAGGCATTCTTGACTCCAATCCTAACCTGTGCTATGCTATCTCTTCGTAGTAGGTCATCAGTGCTTGACCAGGTAAACATAGAGCTGGTTTTTATAATGATAACAGCTATCATTTATATAGCTGTGGTTGGCAAAGCACTTTACATATGGTATCTTATTTGATCCTCACAACAACCTGGGAGGTAGATGTTTTTATTCTTAGCTCTATTTTACAGACAAGGAAACTGAGGCAGACTGAGGTTAAGTGACTTGTGCAGGGTCACACAGCTAGTAAGTGTCTAAGGCCAGATTTGAACTGAAATCTCCCTGACTGCAAGGCCAGTGATCTATCCACTGAGCCACCTCGATGCTGTTTTCAGGCATCTAATACGCAACATACAGCTAAACTTAGGCTCACATCTTTTGTCACAGCTAGGTGGTGCAGTGAATAGTTCAAATCTGGCCTCAGACACTTCTTCGTAGCTGTATGGCCCTTCACAAGTCACTTAACTGTTTGCCTCAGTTTCCTCATCTGTAAAATGAGTTGGAAAAGGAAATGGCAAACCACTCCAGTGTCTTTCCTAAGAAAACCCCAAATTGGGCACAGAGTCAGACATAACTGAAAAGACTGAACAACAAAAATAAAATTACACCATAGATGTCTCATAAAAAATATTTATTTATTTTGTTTTTTTTTCTGAGGTGATCAGGGTTAAGTGACTTGCCCGGGGTCACACAGCTAGTAAGGGTCTGAGGCTGGATTTGAACTCAGGTCCTCCTGACTCCAAGGCCGGAGCTCTATTCACTGCATCATTAGCTGCCCTGTAAATATTTATTAAAAAACAACAACAACAACAACAACTTATTTTCTTGTAGTTAATAATTGCTCCTACCAAACCAGAAAAATTAAGCTATAAGCCTAAGCAAAGGTCCTAATATGTGATATAAACATATTTCTGGGGCCCTTCTTCCAAGGGCTTCCTTCTGTTCCTTCTCTTTACTGATTTAATTTCCATCACCCCTAGGGAGCTGGTGAGCTGCTTACAGCAGCGAAACGTTCAGGTCTTCCTAATATCTGGCGGGTTTAGGAGCATCGTAGAACATGTCGCTTCAAAGCTCAATATTCCAGTCACCAATGTCTTTGCTAATAGGTTGAAGTTCTTTTTCAATGGTAAGCATCCATTTGGGATACTCTCTTCTTTCTTATCAATTTCAGTTTCACTGAGACTGTTTGGGTAAAGGGGTTACTAGGGATGGGCCCAGGCCAAGGTAATAGTTTAAGAAACAAAAATTAAGCGTGGAAATACCTATTTTTTTGTAGTTTTGTAGTCGTCCCTTATACACTCAAAAGTATTAGGATCATTCCAGCTCTGCCAATTATGACTTTTGTCATGACCAGGGCAAGTTACAACTTCTCTAGGCTCCATTTTACTCATCTATAAAATGGAGGGTTGGATAAGATGGCCTCTAAGAGTCCTTCAGTCTCTTGGTCTATGACCCTATGGACCTATGTGTATTGGTTCCCAGGTCAGTGGTGACCCTCTTGTCTTTGTCCATCCGTTAGTATTTGGTAAAATGCCTTAGGTTTTCACAGATCTGCTCATTTCCATGGGATCTAGGAAGCTTATTTTGAGTCCAGTTGTCTTCCAAGCATTTTCACTCATTTGATTCCCCTTAGGTCATGGATTCTTAACCTGGGGTCCATGTGGGTTTTGTAAAAATTTATTTTGGTATCCATTTTAATGAAACTGGTTTCCTTTGTAATGCTATATGTTTTATTTTATGCATTGAAAATCTCTCTTCTGAAAAATGGGTCAGACTTCACAACCCTACTGAAGGCAAGATCCGATCCTTTCAAACCATAAGTACAACATGTCAGGTACTGACGCCAGAAGCATCATACACTTTGTCAAACCCCATGACAAAGACTTTTCCTGCCCTTAGGTCTTTGTAGTAATGTCAAAATCTCCTAGAAGCACAACAAAAGACACAGGATATAGAAATTTGATTTCATATACTTTCATTAGGGCCATAGAATAATTCAGGATAGTGTCATCAGCCAGTTGTCAACATATTTACTGATTCCCCCATTAAAATTTATGTGGAGTCAATAAAAAAAACCAACATAAAAAATATTCTCCACTATGTAAAAAAAAATAGTTCTAATTCACTTGAATTAAATAGGACCAGACTAACTTGGAAGAAGGCACTGTGGTAGCTGCAGGGTAGTACACTTATCAGCCATAGCTGTTCTTGAAAATAACTTACTAAATTACTGAGGGGTTGATATCTGCAACTCTGGAGGGAGCATCTATGCCAGTGAAACCATAGATCCTTGGGGTATTGAAGAAGGAAGTGTATATTTTTTTAGAGGGGGAGGGTGCATACATATGATCCTCTTCCTATAGGACAGTCTACTCTTAAGAAATTCCTTCCACCAGACTAGGCCAGGACCTGCTTTTAAGACTTGGTAGTCTTAAGAGTTTCCTGGGGGCACCGAGAGGTTATGACCTGCTTAGGGTCATAGAGCCAGAGACAGAACTTGAACCTGGGTCTTCCTGACTCCAAAGCCACTCTGCTATTCATGGTGCCACATAGCCTCTGTGTGTATGTATGTGGAGGTAACTGCCTCGTATTTATTTTGTCTACATGTGTCATTAAGGACTTTGGGAATAGTGAGCTAGGCTGAAGGCATTGTAAAATTCAAAGGGCAGTGGATGGGCACATTTCCAAAAAGAATGGGAATCATTACTGTTGGCAAGATTGTAAAGCTAGCCTTTGGTGAGAACCTTGGATGCTCCCCCACTACCAACTCCCCCTGGATTACCTGGGAAGTCCAGGAAGGGCCAGGGAATCTTGCTCTCAAAGCCTTCTTTCCTTATCTTTTACTCATTAATCAATCAATCAACAAGTATTTATTAACCACCTACTATAGGGCAGGCACCATGTTAGGCTCTGAGGATGCAAATGCAAAAATGAGACAATCCCTCCTCTCAAAGAAATTACATTCTAACAGGGAAAATAACATGAACCCATGAAAGCAGAGGGTAATCTATTGTGGAAGGTGCCAACAGCTGGGGGGTGGGGCTTTCATGTAGAAGGTGACTGTTGATCTGAGCTTTAAAGCAAACTAGGGATTCTGAGAGGTGGAGGTGAGGAGGGCAGGCAGTAAGAAAGTCCATTTGGCTGGATTGTAGAATGCATGATAGGAAGAAATGTTTCATCAGTCTGATGAGGTGTAATGGTGGCAAGTTGTGAAGGGCCTTCAGTGCTCAACGGAAGAGTCGACGTTTGACCCTGGAGGTAATAGGGAGCCGCAGACGTTTATTTTTATTCCACCTCGTTGGAAAGCCCACCCTCCTGGTACGTTCTGTAATGTGGAATGAATGGATCTTTAACCCTGCCACCATCGCTGTTCTCTCTAGGTGAGTACGCTGGTTTTGATGAGAGCCAGCCAACTGCTGAGTCTGGAGGGAAAGGCAAGGTGATTGCACTCCTGAAGGAACGGTTCCATTTTAAGAAAATTGTCATGATTGGGGATGGAGCTACTGACATGGAAGCTTGTCCTCCTGCTGTAAGTTCTGAGGATACTAATCCCTGTCTGTTCTTTAGCAGACAAAGTCATAGGCCTGAGAGGGTCTTCTCTCTTTGTGTCTATAGGGAGGTGGCCGCAGGCTTTGGAGCCAGAGTCCCATCTCTGTGACTTACAACCTGGGCAGGTCACTTTACTTTTCTCTGAGCCTCTGTTTCCTCAGCTGAAAAATAAGGGGGTTCAACTAGATAGCTTTTAAGGTCCCTGCCAGCTTTCCATCTATGATCCCAGAGTGTCCATCCCTCCCATTATAGAGACCAGGGAACTGAGGCCCAGAGAGGTGACTACTCTGATGGCAAGGCTTCTTCCCTTATGGCTTTTAGTCCTTTTCATCCTCCACTTCCATGCAGCACAGAGGAATTTGGAGTCAGGGACCTGGGTTCAAGATCCAGCTCTGTTACTTTCTCCCTGTATGCCCTTGGGCAGTCCTCTTTCTTTTCTTTTTTTTTGGCCCCAGTCCTATCCTCTGTCCAAAGTGAGGAGTTGGGATTAGATGACTTCTCAGCTCTCTTCCAGTCCTAAATCAATTGAACAAGCATCATTCATGGGTGGATACAAGATGGCAGAGTGAAGGGAGTACTCTAGCAGAACATTCCCAACATTTCCCTCTAAACAACTTTAAAATAATGGGGTCATATCAAATTCTAAAACAAACCTCATTCAGTAAGTGCCTCCCAAGCTTCCAGGTACTATGCTAAGCTCCTGAACACAAAGGCAAAAGTGAACCAGGTCCTGCTGGCTCAGAGTTTGAATTCTCCAGAGATAAAAATCTACATGGATAAGTAAAGACAAAATAAGGCAAAGTCATTCTGAGAGTGAATGAGACCTCTTAGCAACCAGGAGGGTGAGGAAGATCTTCAGGTAGGAAATAGTACCTGAGCTGTTGCTTAAGGGAAGGCAGAGGTAAGTGGGGCATAACACGATTGTGGCTCTGGGGAAAGTACAGAAGTGCATGATACACAGGGTATGTCCTCAAGGAGCTTCTAGTCTAGTTACGGGAAGAAGACCTGTGCCTGACAAGGTTCAGCAAGGCTACAATCAAAGAAATGTCCGGGGGCAGACGGCACCTTGGCCTGGAGTGGGTCAGGAAGGTCCTTGGAAGGTGACTAAGATTTCTGTGGGCAGGGAAGAGAATTGAGTGTGCGGGTCAGAGTCACGGTTTTAGAGCTTTGAGGCTATTAAGTTCAACCCTCTCATTTTATAGATGAGGAAACTGAGGCCCAGAGACCTTTGAGGTGGGATTTGAACTTTGGTCTTCTGACTCCAAGTTCAATATCCTATCTGTTACTCGAAGTTTGGAAAAGTAGTTCGAAGCAACTCTGTAGATGAACCATAGAGTTTGAATTTTATCCTCGGACTCCAAATTCAGTGTTCTTTCTTAAAAAAAAAAATCCTGTTGATAGCGTTTAATCTCTTACATCACCATTGCCTCCACAAAGTACTTTGCGCCTTATAGGTGTTTAAGAAAATGTTTGTTTAGTTGAATTGACTCATGTAGATAATAGGAGCCTTTGGTTGGTTTTAAAAAGGAAAGATATAAACAATGCTTTTGGGAAGATTAATCTATGATTTAAGGATGGATAGAAAGAAGAAAGGAAATAAACATTTATTAAGTGCCTACTATGTGCCAGAAACTGGGGTAAACGCTTTACAAATAGTATATTAGGGAAAGGCCAAAGGCAAAGAGTTAACTGGTCTGCCATCACAGAAATCCAGGTATGGTGGTAAAAAAAAAAAATCGAGTTTGTGGGAAGAGAGGGAAGGGACTGTTCAGAAATTTGTGTATTTTACACTATCTGCACACAGAGCAAGAGAGAGGAGGTCCTGACCCCTTTCGGAGACTATGGCTTTGTTTAACTGAAGCACTTTGTACGGACATACTGGGCTCTTCCCAGCAAATAACCCCACCAGTTCCCCAGAACAATCATTAGGCAAAGTTGTCTTTCAGGCTGATTGCACCTGATAGTATGAGTCAGTTTCCACTGTCCCGATTTACTGACCAAGAAGAGAAAGGATGGAGGCTTTACTTTTGATAGTCCAGTGCCAGCAAAGGATGACTGTCTGGCCGGAGTTCTGGTGCCTTTGAATGAGGTCGACACTCGTGTGTGATCATTGCATAATTGTTCTACAATCTCTGCTTCTCTTACCCTAGAGACAATTGACTGAGAACAGCTTAAATTAGTGGAAATTCTCTAAGTGAATGTTGTTCCGTTGATCATGGGTGGAGCTTGCTGAGTCTCACCCTTGAGAAGTGGGGTGCTTGCTGCCAGCAGGAGTCTGGATCAATCTCCTCCCCCAACTCCTGCAGGCCTCACTGCTCTCTCTTAATTTGAATTTCTAACTGTCTGTACCACATTATTAAGCACTTGGCCTTCTCCTGTCTTGGCAATAGGTCAGAAATTTGTGATTTTAATAGAGTAGGGACTTCCTTCCTTCACCAACCGACTTATTCCTCAATGGATAGTTGGTGTGGGAAGCGTTCAGAGAATTTATGTGATCTACCCAGAGTCACCCTGTTTTTGAGCCTGGGTCTTCCTGTCCAGTACAGCATTCTGTTCGCTACTTTCCTCCTTCCCTTGCATTACTGTTTCATGTGCCTTCCTCAGTTAGATCTTAAGCTACTTGAGGGCAGATCTTGGCATGATATTTACTCAATGGATTGATTAGTATGGAAGTTCAAGATGAGGTAGAGAAGAATGGTTCTATATGCTGAATTGGCTCTAAGATCTGCTTTAGGGCAAAAACCTCCATTTGACCATGGTGGGCACCATGTTTTTGCTTTCTTTACTTTTCTAGCAATTAGTATAGTGTCAGGCACATAGTAGGAGCTTAATAAATGCTTGTTGACTCAGGACAAGTGGGTGGTTCCCTCCCCACCACTGATCATTTCCACTTTCAGGCTCAACGCCTGTGGCCATATGATTTTCTTTGCATGCTTTTGATTCCTTTTCCCCCCTCCTTTCAGGATATTTTCATTGGCTTCGGGGGAAATGTGACTAGGCAACAAGTGAAGGACAACGCCAAGTGGTACATCACTGACTTTGGGGAGCTTCTTCAAGAACTGGAAAAGTGATGTCGAATTTGAATCATATGAAATATATACATATATATTTTATTAGCAGTTCCAGATTAATTAAAAAGAACACTTATGCAGATTTATATTGTTGGCATACATGTACCCATTGCGTTTTTACGTGCCCAAATTTGGAGCTGGTCCCCTGTCCTTTTGGGCTAACTAGAGAGTGGTTCCTGACCACTTTGACCACTGAAGCCCACGATTTAAGCCCAGTTAAAAGCATTCCTCCTTGCTTGACCTTTGAGTAGCACACTAAGCCACGAGGTAGAAGTCCCTTCTCCCCCATAGGAATTCGTCCTATGTGGGATGGTACAAAGGTCTCATTTACAGAACACTGGAACACCAAACAGAATTATTGGTGTCTCAAAACAAAGTTGTTTGTCCTTAAAGATCAAACGAAGGGGAAAAAAAGAAAAAAAAAAATCTTCCAAGAGGAGGACCGGCAGGTTTTCCCTTCCCTTTTGAAGTCAGAAATAATTCTCAACAGGTGCTATGCAAATAATTGTGAAAGAAAACCTGGAAAGTTGTGAAAGTTACAGCATTCATTTTAATTCTGACCAGAGTTTAGCAAGAGACACTTCCAAATGTGACTTGAAAACACCGTCTCTCTACCCATTCCTTCTTTTCCAAATTAAGTGGGGGAAAGGACATCATTGTGGCAAGGAATAGACACCTTTGGGACACAAAGAAGGATTTTTAAGTGAGAACTTACTTGAAAAACTTCTAACCTAGCCAAATGTCGAGACAAATGCTTTTTGGAATTGGAGTTTCTGCAGCACTTTCAGGGGCATGTGGAACAGGGTTGGCAGCTCTTCCGTCAGGCTGCAAATAACCAAGCAGTTGTTCTCTCCTGGTGAATGCTTATTGGCTGCTCTCCATAGACTTGCTTGGTGTGTTCTCCCATTTTCAGGAGTGCCATGCCTAGGACTTAAAACTTCTAAACTGAGTTATGAGAATATTCCCTTTAAAACTTTCCGACATTTGAATTTAAAAAACAAAATATGCTGTTCCCTTTCTTCTTCTTGGCAGGACAAAGAGATGCTGTATGTAAGAGCAAAAGATGATTAGAATGCTTAGGAGATCTCAGGTTCCTTTACCCACAAGGAGCCAGCTTGCCAAATCTGGTCCTCCACACATCAGTGATTTGAATAGCAAGGGGGATGAGGAAAGGCTAAATTTGGCTCAGAACTGTCTAATCACCTGGGAAATGTCCCTCTGTCCCCAACCAAACAATTGTCTCTCTGCCCAGAAGGATTTGCAGTTCTTAAGGAGCCGTGGGAAAAACCCAACAAATCGTCACCCACACAATGGTTCTTCTGTGGTGTGTGCTGGAGGGGGTGAGTTTAAAAACAAGCAAGGGGGGACGGTGGCATCCTGAGTGCCCACTCCTCCTGCATTCGATGGAAACCTGTCCGTGGAGCCTCTATGCAAAGAGTTATGGGCATAGTTATGCTGGGATTGCATTCAGATGATAAAAATGTTCACTGGAGTCCGTAAGTCATCCTTCTTTCTCTTTTTCATTCATCTGGGGAGGATTTCTACTAATCTGGATAGAAAAAAAAAAGGTAATTATTTGGGTTGTGACCAAGCTAGAGACTTCAAATCTTTTATGTAAAAATGCCAGAAGAATGTCTTTTTATTGCTTTTAAAAGAATGGAGAAACTGTGGCTTTTGCCCAATCCTTCTTGGGCTTTGCCCATTCTCTCTTCTGTATTCTGAGATTGCTCTCCTTGAAAAGACAGTGAGCATCCATGACATTGAGGCATGCCTACTTGCCCTCTACTCCAATAATAAGAAATCCTCACATTTATAGTGTTTAAATTAAAAAAAAAAACCTTTTTTGTCAATTAATAAGCACTTCTCTTCCTCCCATCTCCTTCCCGTTGGAAGGAAAAAGAAAAACAAAACCCTTGTAACAAATGTGCATAGTGCTAAAGAAAGAAATAGTAATATTGTCCTCTCTATCAGAAATGCTTTTATGTATTTTAACTTGAAGCTAACATCGAAGCATTTCTAGTCTAGAGAGATAGAGAGATGTTCAAACACCCTTACCTTTGGACATGACTCTTTATCCCAGGATGATTTGAGATAACTTTTATGGGGATCTTGAACAAAGAAAAGATCATATTTGGTTAAATATCATTTGGGGTTAAAATCTCCCTTGAGATTTTAACCTGCAAAGAAGCAAGAGTGTTTGGGAATGTTGCCACTGTGGCTGGGAAGGCCACTTGTTGTCAAGCGTAGGGGAAGGGCAGGGCCCAAGAAACCTCGCCTGAAGGGCCTGGCATTCCTAATTTAACTTATTAATCTTGCTAACTAGGTGCTATTTGATGGCCATAATGGGTAGAGTCTTCCCATTTCAAGTCAAAAAGACCTGGATTCAAATCCAGCCTCAGACACTTAGTGGTTGTGTGACCAAGGGCAAGTCACTTAGCACCTCGATGCCCGAAGCAGTTCCTTAAGACTGTTGTTGTTGTTCAGTGTTTACTAAATTGTAGCCCAATCTTCACGACCCCATTTGGGGTTTTCTTGGCAGAGATTGCAGAGAGGTTTGCCATTTCCTTCTCCACCTCATTTTACAGATGAGGAAACTGGGGCAAACAGGGTGAAGTAACTTGCACTGGGTCATACAACCAATAAGTGTCTGAGGCTGGATTTGAACTCAGGTGTTCCTGAATATTTTTTCATTGTAGAGAAAGTGCCAATCTGCTGTGGTAGGAGGTTCCTCCCCCATTCCTTTGAAATCACAGATCCCTTCCAAGATGTTTGAGGCTAAGCTTAATTGTTTATATTTGCTGAGGAAGCACAAATGCTAATCAGTGCTTTGGGTAAAATTTAGAGATTAATTGGTGTTTGGGACAATTATATACATAAACTTAAAATCTTATCTGTTACCCACGGGACTGCTCTCAAGAGCACGGATTCCTTTTCTGAAGCATTAAATGTGATCAAGATCCAAAATGATTAATTTGGCTGAAGACAGCAATCGAGTTTTGACCTATCTGTTCCCCACCCGCCTTGTAAAATCCCAGGGAAGGGCTTTAGCAAGTTGGAACTTTTCTCTGGAAAACTGCTGGTCTTGTTCCCTGGATGCATCTTCTAAAAGAAGCCAATAGAGTTGCTCAAGAAAGGCAGACAGATTTGGAACCAAGGACCTGGGTTCATATCCTGTCTCCTTAACTACTATGTGTGAGCTGTGTGACCCTGGGCAAGTCACTTAACCCCATTGCCTAGTCAAAAAAACAAAACAAAACAAAACAAAAAAAACAAATACCATCTGTGTGATCTAGAGTAAGTTACCTGGTAGGTAATACAGTTTGTTGGCTTGTTAGATCTCCCTTTCCTCATGTGAAAGATGAGATGACTTCTTAACTTCCTTGCTACTTTAAGTCTATGAATCTAAGTCACAAATCCTGACTCTGACCCTTACTACCTGTATGATGTTGGGGAGGTCCCCCGCTCTTGGGCCTCAGTTGTATGATGTATGTATCTGTATGATGGATTGACTGTGATGACCCGGAACGCCCCATCTAGCTCCATCCGATAATCCCGCTCAGTTCTGACATCTTGCCAGTGCTCCCTCCTGTGCCTCATGTCCTGCTCTGAACTGCTTCAGTGGCACGCAGCCCCTTGTGGGAGAATCTCTTTTGTGGTCTGTTCTGAACACTTGGGCAGTGACTGACCTGGAGGGACGTTTTACCCCTGTATTGCCTTGAGCAGTTTATGAAGCTCTGTCTTTGGGGGTTACATGTTAGGAGGTTGGACTAGACCCCCGAGGGCCTTTCAGCCTGAGTCCATGTTCTTATTTGAGGGGAACAAATCACCATCCTTGTGAGGGAGGCAGATGAGTATGTATTATTTATTAACCCCATTCTCCAGATGAAGAAATGGAGGATATTGGGAAACTGGTGAGCCCTTGGAGAGAACAAAGGGTATTGTGAAGGGTGTTGAGTGCAGGCCATATGAGGGTCCCTTAAGGAATTGGGGATGGTTAGTGTGGACTTTGTAGGGAAAGGACGGCTGTCTTCAACTATATAAAGGGTTGTTATATGGAAGAGGGATTAGATTGGTTCTATTTGGAACAAAAGGGGCCACTAGATGGGTAGAGCGCCAGCCCTGGAGTCAGGAAAGCCTAAATTCAAATTCTGCCTCAGACACTTACTAGCCGTGTGATCTTGGGCAAGTGAGATCTCCTCTGCTGCCTCAGTTTCCTCATCTGTAAAATGGGGGTAATAAGATCACCTGCCTCCCAGGGTTGATGTGAGGATAAAATGAGATATTTGCAAAGGCTTTTAGGAATGTTAAAGCATTACATAAATGTTTGTTATCCTTATGATTATGAACTAGGAACAATGGATGGAAGTTTGATATAAAGAAAAATTTCCTAACCTTTAGAACTCTCCCAGAATGGAATGGGGAGCATTCCACATGCACAGCTATATGGCACCATAGTGCACAGATGCCAGACCTGGATTCAGGGAGACTCATCTTCCTGAGTTCAAATCTGGCCTCAGACACTAACTAACAGTGTGACCCTGGGCAAGTCATTTAACCCTATTGCCTCAGTTTCCTCGTCTGTAAAATGAGCTGGAGAAGGAAATGGCAAACCACTCCAGAATCTCTTCCAAGAAAACTCCAAATGGGGTCATGAAGAGTCGGACACAACTGAACAATGACTCAACAACATTAACAAAATGGAAGGGGCTGTTTCCATAGGTGGGTTCCCCTCCTCACTGGGGGTCTTCAAGCAGAAGTTACATGACCACTTGTCAGCTGTCATATAACAGGCATTCTTTTTCTGGTATGGGTTGGATTTGATGGTCCCTTCCAACACTGCAATTCAGTGATTCTGCTTTGAGGAGTTAAGCAGCTCACCAAATAAACTTGGACAGAGCTGGGGACATGATCAAGGTCTTCTGACTCCCAGTTTGGTGTGCTTTCCATGGTCTTCTTTTAGGTTCCTAAGGAATATCAAGTCAAATCCAGCCTTGCCAAAGGCCAAAGTTGAAATGATGCCTTATACCTTAATCACAAGTCAATTTATGAAAAAAACAGGTTAAATGTAGCCTTGTA